GGTTACAGTGTCACGTGATATTTTATCAGAGTACATTTCAGGGCCTTTATATTTGAACCACGCTATGACTCAGCAGAAAAATGTGTGATATGCAGTATTAAAAAATATTGACTAATTCGTGCGAATTAGTGTCTACGCACGAGTATTGTAAATGAAATCCGATAGAGAGTTGTTCATAAAATACACAAAATTAGAACGGCGCGTAACAAAATGCCCTTTGGTGGTCCTTACTTACGATTAAAATCAAGGTTGACACTGCTAAGTTGTTAAATTGTGCCACTGTTACTAGCTAAGTATTGAAATTGATGCGATCTCGTTCCCGATCAATTCCTCATAACTCGCCAAATTGCCTATACAGAGACAAGTAATGCACGAGTTATAATAGTTTGTACGTTGAACGAAAGTTGGTTAATAAAATATGAATATATTGAACTGTAAAACTCCGCCTACTTAGTAGCGAGCTCATCACAGAACACCAACTTTTATACGAGCAAGTTTTGAAACGAATTAAAATGTCAGTTATAATAATTTGTTTTTGTTACTAAATGACAGGAACTAATACATATTTATTCATTATTATTCATTATTATTCATTACCGTCACCAGTTCACTGACTCAACCATTGCTTTCTATTTCCACTTGTACGACAAAATTAAACAAATATTGCATATTTTCCACTTTTTATTATTCACGTTCTAATACTGTCCGTTCTAAGCCAGATATGCGCCTTAAATTGCCAATACACGCATTCAATATCCCTACCATACGCCCACGAGAAACATTTAATCAAATGTCGTATGATTTCAATCCATGTGAGAACATTAATTACACTCACACACGTCGTGTGATACGATTTACTGTTGTAACATACAAATCAGGTAAAGAAAATGAAGACAATGTATAATTTGAAACAACAGTGCAAACTTAGTGCTCATTAACAAAACAATTTGTAAATATGTGCCTTATTTTATTGCTAAGTAACTAACTAAACAGTGTATGTTGCTTTAAATGACTTCAATGTGATCACACACCTGGGTTCCTGCGGATGTCGTCAATGTTAGCTGCCAATTAGTCAAGCTTATTGAAAATAATTGGAATTGTTTTTAAAATCGTGAGTTTCTCAGTTTAATAGCATCACGTCTCTCCCCAACCTGTTGTGCTTTCCTTGATCGCGATATGATCTTTCAACTGTGTGTATTACATGTTCACCGCATGTCATATCAGACAGTATTTTCTGATGTCAAGTGCGCTTTGTATATTTTGGAAGGCATAAACATCTACTACTTGAAGTTCTCTATTTGTTGAATATTTATGAACTTATTATTAAAACTGGTCTTAAATTGATTTTCTAAACAAACACATCGAACTGTTTCAATTATGTATGCTTTGAAGTTAAGGATGGAGCGGATATTGTATTGAGTATAACATAAATCAATATTCATTGCACATATATACGTATAACTTGAGTCGCGTTTTACTGTGTACGAGTAGAGTGGATAAAAGATGCAACTGTTTTCTGACTCAGTTTGCAGAATTTAAAGCGTAACATGCGCTGAATGAAACTGAGTTGTACACTAATTAACGCTGCACGATCGGGGGTCTATGTCGCAATTATGCTGCACTGCGCGGTGAATTAGTTCAGACATGTGAGGCCTCCCAGGTGAGAATTAAACGCGTAATGTCGTGACGTAAAGTCAGATAAAACTGCGTGTAGTTACGGACTTTACTTACGCGATAAGTACACAGACATGTTGTAAATGCGTATGTATCAGCAAAACCCTCTTGTGTAAATGACACTTATTGTACACGTGAAATAAGAGCGGTTTCCATAGGCTGGCGGCTCGTTTAAATGTGATTGCAGAAAAGCCGAATAGATAAACCCTAGCTTTCAAAAAACAAACACTTTCTCTGTGTCACGACTTTCTTATGTCATGAATATCGGATTGCATCGTGATAAACCCTGGGAAACGACCCGCAGAATGATTACAAAGCTGTTAATGAACGCGAAACCAGATACGGCGGACTTTACATCTTTTTTTTGGCATTTTCCGATTGATTGATTGGTTGGTTATCACTTATGTAAATACTCCAAGCCACAGTTCTATACAATACTAGTACACTCACACTTATCAAATGTTAAAAATCAACCAGATATTAACACGCACTCTAAGATCAGTAAGTTATTTCCCATGTGCTTAAAATAATAATATTGACCCCACTTGCCGCGGTTTTTTTTTATTATTTCGACTCGAGAGCTCGCAGTATCCTATTCTCAGTTTTATCAGAGCTACAATGAGAAATTAAATTGGCGAAATGATCAACACAACTTGACAATCACATATTGTAGTTTATCAATGAAGGTAATGTTATAAATTACAGTTCATCAGACTGATCTATTGATCATTGAATCAATATCAATTTTTCGAGATTTAAGAAGCTTAGACAGCAGACATGGATATATTGATTGGTATTAGTAAACCAAGAATGTATAAATTCCACACAGCGGGTGGCCTGACAGTGTCGAGTGTATCTATAATGACAAGATGCTTCGTCCTTGTCGACTCAACTGTTGTATGTTTCATGGCGGTAATGTGACGCCACAACACCACTTTACGTATATTAAATCAGCGTCGTTCAGGGAATGTGTCGTGTGGTGTCGTATGTATCATCGTAATCTAAAATACTTTGTTTCATTTACTATCAATTTCAGATAGAGTACTAGTAGACCTGACACCCAAAAGGTATGCACGATGAAAAACTTTTCGCAAATCAACACAACGACGGAAGTCCCTTATCTTAACGTGTCGGGTGTTTCGGATTTCACGTCAGATGAACCTAGTTACGCCGAGGAAACTGCGACTGAAACATCAACTGAGGTCGATGACAGTTATTCCTACGACTATAGCTGGGATATCGATGTACCCGATAGTGTATACATTGTCGTGTTGGGCATTGCGTCTGTGCTCATCGTGGTGGGCAACCTTTTGGTCATTATTGCTGTATTCAAACAACCAAAACTACGACGTTCCGCTACAAACCTGTTCATCGTATCACTGGCCTTTTCAGATCTTCTTATCGGACTCTGCGTCGGTCCGATGGAGCTCATTCGGATAATGGGTTCCAGGCTGTTGGTCACAGTTGAAGCTTTGTGCGATATCCCGGGCGTCCTTCAATATACCAGTATCTGCACCACCATATTTACACTTGTGGCGATAGGCGCGGACCGCTACCGCGCCATTGTTCAACCCATGAAGCCACGCGTCTCAGTGCATAAAGCTCGAGTGTGCATAGTTGGCATTTGGGTGTTGGGGTTTGTGTACGCTGCGTATCGATTTCCGGTGCATGGAGTGACATTCTGGTATGGCAAGACGGAAAATGACAGTCGTTTGTACTTCTGTGAGGTGCTTCCTCAGATGCATTTTATAGAGATCCCGATGACTGTTGTACACCTCGTGGTTCTATACATTGTTCCGCTGATTACGTTGACGTATCTTTACGGTAGAATGATCGTCACGCTATACGGCGGCACGTCGATCAACGACGAGTCCAAACGTAGAAAGAAACGAGCAGTCAAGATGTTGTTACTAGTTGTCGTGATGTTCGCTCTCAGCTGGTTACCGTATAGAGTCCATGCTGTGCTGTATTTCTACGACGAAAGCTGGTTCACCGACTCCTGGTTCATATACAGTATATTTTACTTTGCATATCTCTCGAACAGTTTCGTCAACCCGATAATCTACGCTGCTTTCAGCGCGAGTTTCCGCCGGGAATTCGTTACAATCTTGACTTGTGGCTTACACGAAGCGCTCGTGAAGAGGAGGCGACGGGGTGTGGAGCTGCTTCAAACACCTAAGTCGCAAAGCGGCAGTACCGTCACTGGCATGACCCAGGTCACTGGAACTGGTAGTAGCGTTTATCGGAGCGAAAATAGCATGGCTATGGAGAGCATTAAAAGAGAGGATGCTGTGAAAAACAAACACGTAGTCATGGAAATGGAAGGTAGCTCAGTTTGCGAGAGGCAGGACGAGTCCTCCAATTTCGAGTCACAGCTACACCAAACTATCAAACCTGAAAATATTTCTTACGACAACACATGCTTCACACAAACTGAAGATCAACATGTTTTGGGAACGATCACTGAAGAAACTGGGAACTCAGAGCAACATGTGGACTATACACATCAAACGATATCGTCTAAAACCATGACGAACTGTTCAACACAGACATCACTTGAATAAGTGAAACAATTGACAATTCTAGTTTTCGATGCATGCATCGAATTGTCGTGAAAGTTAGAACATAAACTGGATTTGTATATTACTAAATGGCAATTATATGTTTTTTCTTCTAACAAGACATATCATAATATGATAGCTAATGTTTTTTTTTAAACTTATTTGTAGTGAATACAGAGTTGTCACTGTATGAGAGAGATTCACTGCTGATTTTGCTTGGAATCCGTAAATGCATTCTGCTTGTTAAGAACTGAGCACACAACCATAATTTATAAATTAAAAAAAAAAACATTTCTTCATTTCCACTACATGCCATTTATTTAGCCTGAATACAGTTAACAATTCCATCTGTATTGCAGGTATGGCCACTGCTGCTGGTTGTCAGCTGGTAGCTAGCTGTGATATCGCTATTGATGCTGAAAACTCCACATTTGCAACTCCTGGGTATTACAAAGTGGACACACAAGGATTATTAAAAACAATATGACATGTATTACACCTTCAGCTTTATCTGCTGTATCATATTTTTTTTTCTTTTGTAATATTCACGCAAGGTGACAGTTTCGGCTATTGAACGTTTCTGTTGTCTGAACTTCCTCTTTTTTTGCAAATTGTAAGAGCAGGTGTTGATACAGCATTATGCTACATAAACTTCATTCCATGTTTAGGAATATATGTCCATCATATCATAATGACATTATTACAATTTCATTCACTATCCTGGTGTCAAACAAACCCAGAGACATACTCATTGGTGAATCTTAGTCAGTGGGTGTCGTGTAACAGATTTAGTGTATAATATAATGTAAGTTTAGCTGTAGAATACCCTGCTTCAGTTACAGTGTATTCAGCTTCAGTTGTAGTATATTCAGCTTCAATTGTAGTGTATTCAGTTTCAGTTGTAGTGCATTCAGCTTCAGTTGTAGTGTATTCAGCTTTAGTTGTAGTATATTCAGCTTCAGTTGTAGTATATTCAGCTTCAGTTGTAGTGCATTCTGCTTCAGTTGTAGTATATTCAGCTTCAGTTGTAGTATATTCAGCTTCAGTTGTAGTGCATTCTGCTTCAGTTGTAGTATATTCAGCTTCAGCTGTGGTGTATTCATCTTCAGTTGTAGTATATTCATCGTTAATTGTATGTACAGTTTCAGTTGTAGTATATTCTGTTTCAGTGGTAGTATATCCTGTTTCAGTTATAGTATATCTGCCTCAGTTGTAGTATATTTAGCTTCAGTTAGAGTATATGCTGTTTCAGTTGAAGTATATCTAGCTTCTGCTGTCAGTAGTATATGTGCTCCAGCTTCTGCTGAGTTATATGCTTCTGTTACAATGTGTTTTAAAATTATAGCATTGAATGTTATTCTGTGTTTACCATGGAGTGAACATTGGCCTGTTCTGTTCTACACCGGCCGTTGCTATCGGCAGAGCTATACCTCGGAAAGTTGCCATGGAGATGTTATTTACAGGGAAAACAATATATGCCCAAGGTAATTCCATGTTAAGAGCTGCAAGTTCACGTCAAGTTCCATTTTTCACTGTTGAAGGCTATGCCTGAATTCGAATAAAGGGACTACATGTACATACAACATAAACTCACACACAACCATCAAACACTGACACTGGTCAATGGTATGCTATGTTTACACAACAGCATTTTATCGGAGCCCTACGGCTTGAGCCAGCAAAAATGGCAGTGTATACACGCTCGGCTCAAGCCAAGTTTGACTCCAATAAACGCTCAGGGTTGAACTCTGACAGGGTTGCGCCCCGAAATGGCTCCGACCATGTATACACATTGGGGCCCAGCAATCGGAGCCCAAATCACGTCCTCAACAATCTTCTCCATGTAATTGCAGTTGAATCAAAGCAAATATACAAGATCGAATTTGATTCGTCGAAAAAAAAATCAATTAAAAAACTGCTTTCTGATTGGTGTTTAATATTTTAAAAATGCAAGAATGGGTGAAATGAGGTTGTGAGTGATTTCTTCACTCATTCTTTTCCGTCGTCACGTCTCCATGGTTACATAGGTGCATGGTACACTACTTTAGAAGCAACAACAAATCTCGTGGTTCTCTCACTTTCTGAGAGATTTCAGTGGTCCATTTGCATCCGAGTACTATTGGTAATATACTTTCAAAGAATTTGTGGACATAGGCTGTTTTCAAGTGGAATTACGTTGTGGAAATACGTTTTATAGACTTGCCTGAAAGAATGTACGATGTGCCTTCAGATCCTCATCGCTTTCAAAATAATTTTATGAAAGATATAGTTCTTCATTGACATGGGTTATGAATTACATAAGTAGTTTTTTGTAAGAATTAATGATTTCTGAGGTTTGAACGATGCTTCGGTCCAACGTTTTAACTTTCTATTTTTAATTTCTCCTTTGCTGAATTAGGAACCAAAAATTTAAATTTGAACATTATTTAGATAAAATTAAAACAAAAAAATCGTAGAATAGCTTATAATAAATTTATAACTTTCGAACATTCTCTTCCCATTGAATTATTTTGTAGGCTACATTACATTTTATATTGTAATAATTGTCATAGACCTAGATTTCTTGCAGCCATGTAAGAGTACTACATCTATGTCCCAAAGTTGGAAGATTTTAGCATGGATTAAATAATATTGTTTCAATTGATGATTCCTTAATTTTTATTATTTAAAAAAAATATTTTTCATATTCTTGATATGTTTTAGTTCTGTAAATTTTTGTTGTTCTGAATGTTGCTGTTATTATTCGACATTACTCAAGGTTTCTTTGGTACGTTCCAAATAAATTATATACGGGGGGTGACACTGGTCTCATACGTTAATAGCAGATTAATACGTATTGGAGGCGTTGATCAGTGTATTGTTTTACTTATCGAAATGTCACATTATGTTTAGTAAATAACCTAAAATATATGCGACGTCCCACTCGTTTCCCGCGACTCGCGGCATCATAGTGACGTATCACTGTCATGAACCATCAAACATATAATCTGAACGTGCGCCCTCTACAGTCGGAAAACTTCTGTCAATTCACCTCAGGTTGTACCATCAATTGCGTTAACCTCACAGATTCCATAACTTCAGTGTGCCAAGACAACATTATGTCACACAGATCATGATGTAAGTCACAACGTAAGCCAATAACGCTCACCGAACACATAACTCCACCCTATAGGTTTTTTCACGATATTTGAGGAGAAACCGTGTCTGGAATGATTATAATTTTAATAAGGGGTAGCAAAATTTGCCCCTCGAAATACAGGAGATAGCGTTCCAGAGGGTCTCCCCCCAAAAGGATGATGAGCAGACCCCCCCCTCCCAATGCAAAATTCATGCCGCCGCCTCTGCAGGAGCTTGTCAACTGACGGCAAATCCCGTAACGCGAGCACGAAGTGCGAGATGATGACACTACTCAACTCCGATGACGTCACAGCTAAAGATTATCATTTCCTGGACTGGAACACGTTTGAAAGGTTTCTTGCATTGTGGGATTTTATGTAAAACACGAATATTTCCGTCTTCGGACCTTCAGATATAAGCTAGGTTGGAAGCGTCAAATCGGCAGTCACCTTTATCTACAGGTCACTAGTCCATGTTAATAATTAAACAATCTAACACACCTCCAGTCTCATACAGCTGACGTATTTGAATTCGCCCTCACATGTCGTGTTTCTGAAAGAAATAATCCAAACACTGATACGTTGATATATACTAGTATACTGGTCATCTTGATAAGAGCATGCGCCGAGCTATATTTTAGTTAAAAATGGCGGTGTGTGACCGCGGTACACACGACAATGATACGACCTATACAACGATCAGTCGGTGAACGAAGACATCAAACTGTGCCTGGGATCCTTGTACGACTGAAGTAAACGTCTGCGACGACAATCAGCGGTACTTGGTGCAAGGTTTGAATCTCAGTGGAGAAGCACTGGTTCATTTATGCTTTGGTTTTAACTGTTGTTACGTTCACTAATACTATGACTACTGTTACCTCTGTCCCCGGGCCTTTCAGGGCACCCGTTACATCGAAAGATTCATGGAGAACCCTGTTTGTGGACTTAAGCAGTAACCTGTCATCGGAGGAATTTGTTCGAATCACGCAGTATCTCCGTAGACGGCAGATACCACTACCAGGCGAGGAGAATTTAAAATCGTCTTTAGATATATTTATATACTTGGAAAACATTGGCTGCATTTCCGGGAGTGACATCTCCCTTCTGATGGATATTTTAGATCATATTGAGCGGAAATCGTTGAAAAAGATGGTCGCAGCGCACCAGGAGAACACAGTGGATAAGCACGATGATCAGCCACGTCATACAGGTGAGTGGTTGGTTGAAATAATCACATATATGCGGTATGCTTAACTTTAGTGCATGTACATTATCAGTGGAGGTACTCGCCTCTGACCTTCTATTTTGTTGCCTATATTACGGTGTAACTAAGAGGCCAAAGATTATAGCACATAAATGAGGCTCAGAGGGCTGGTATCAATATTAACCCAAATATTGTAGGTTCATGTTTGATATACAAGTATGTTTCCCAATGTAAAATACTGTGCTGGATGGGTGGTGATTCTGTCCCGTGCCCCGTGCATATATATCCCTAGGTGGGTACTTTCCAGAAAAGAACGACAAAAATGTGCCGCCAGCACCCCGCCAGCACCCCACCAGCACCCCGCCAGCACCCGCAAGATTCATACCCCTTTCAAGTCAACAAATGCGTAAAAGCGTAAAAAGTTCCGGCCTTTTATCTATTTTTGCGAAGAATGCATACTCATACTATGGTTCTTTTTTGACATGGGTTACGAATAACATAAGCCTTTTTTCTGTCACAATTAACAATATTTATGGAACCCAATATTTATAACCCTCGACGGCTTGCACTCAAAACCGTGTGGATTATGCAAATTGTGCGCCCGCGTCCTCCTCTAGAAAGTGAATGTGTCATGTGTCATAGTAACGGATGGTCTCCTAGAAACAAAGTTTGCTTTGCTCATGCGATAAAAGCAATGTAGAACGGTGAGCAACGTAATAAATTACCAGTTCACCTCACAGTCGGTCTTCTTGTATGTAACATAACATAAATCAAGACCATTTAATCTGAAGTGGTTTACTTAGTGTCTGCTGCATATTTGAGTCATGAAGGTCAAATAAATTAAAATTTGTATAAAATGTACAGTGCAGTTGGTAACTTGAAGTTGCCTTGAACTTTATCCCGTAAAATGTTAAAGTTAAATACATGTATTACCATTGTCCGCTGTCTATTTTAACGGGATTTATAATACGTAGATTTAGTGACTTTTGACAATCTGGGTCATTTTTTTACGAGCACAATATAAGTGGGATATAAGAAACACTGCCACGATTGTCGTGCCACCGCTCTGTGCTGCATGATACTAACAATACTCGTATTTGACTGAAGTGTCTCTGCAATAAATTCTCTCAAATACGTTACAAAACCATAGCAAATTTTGCTCATAACTACAATAAAACATGTTATTATTGCACAGTAGAAAACGTACGCACATGCAGGTGAGTTACCCCCCCCCCCCACCCTCATTAAAACAACTAAATTGTAACGGGTCAAAAGCAGGCAGGGCCAGGTGTGCCCTCTTGTAAAAAAATGAAAATATTCGTAATTTAACAACAATTTGCTTGGTCGATATACACAATTTTGGGTGCCGGAGTGCCAGTTTTAGTAAAATTGACAGTTGCTCAAATCCACAGGTTGGTACTTGTCCTAAATACAAACTAGCGTACTCCCCGCTAACATATTTGACACGATCCAGAAGTGCGATTCCCGGACATCGACCTCTATCACCAAAACAACAAGCCGGATAAGTCTGCCGACGAACTGGCGTTTACCAACTTCAACAAATGACGAGCTTTCAATTTATGTACAGTGCTATAAACCCTACATCAATACAAATGTATAATAATTTAACAAGCCGGGTGACACAACACTGTAAGCAAAGACACCCAAATGCATTTTTTTTTTAGGTTTTTGCCGTAAAGAGGCCATGGTGTATGGCGATGCATACGCACGGCTCGACGTGTCACGGCAACAACAGTAAAATTAAGGGAATTACATTCGTGGATGCCAATATGATTATAATAATTGTGCGGCAACCACATAATACTCATACGCACGTGAACGTGATGATATTGATTCAAAGCAGACGACAATGACATAAAAAACAAACTAACGAAATACACTATACTTTCAGGGATGGTCAGTAAACTGCTGATAACAACCGGAGTCATTGTTTACCTGGCAGCCTCGGCCTGGTTTGTAGGAATCGAATCTTTCATATTCTTCGGAGTATTGATCCTGTTGCTTGGAGTAGTCCCGGCTATTCGAGGTAAGGCTGAATGCGGCTGT